TATAGGAATACAACTGATTCCTGTGCATTGATTTTATATCCTGCCACTTTGCTGAATTCATGGATCAGTTCTAGCAATTTTTTTTTGGAATCTTTTGGGTTTTCCATGTAGAGTATCATGTCATCTGCGAAGAGTGAAAGTGTGACGTCCTCCTGGCTGATTTGGATACCTTTTATTCCTTTGTGTTGTCTGACTGCTGAGGCTAAGACTTACAATACTATGTTGAATAACAGTGGCGAGAATGGACATCCCTGTCTTGTTCCTGACCTTAGGGGGAAAGCTCTCAGTTTTTCCCCACTGAGGATGATATTAGCATTGGGTCTTTCATATATGGCTTTTATGATCTCAAGGTATGATCCTTCTATCCCTACTTAAGGGTTTTTATCAAGAAACGATGCTGTATTTTGTCAGATGCTTTCTCTACATCTATTGAGTCGATCATGTGGTTCTTGTCGTTTCTTTTATTGATGTGGTGAATCACATTGATTGTTTTGTGGACATTGAACCAGCCCTGCATCCCAGCTATAAATCCCACTTGGTCGTGGTGAATAATTTTTTTAATGTACTGTTGGATCCAGTTGGCTAATATCTTGTTGAGGATTTTTCCATCCATGTTCATCAGGGAAATTGGTCTGTAGTTCTCCTTTTTAGTGGGGTCTTTGTCTGGTTTTGGAATCAAGGTAATGCTGGCTTCATAGACTGAACTTGGAAGTTTTCCTTGCATTTCTATTTTTTGGAACAGCTTCAAGAGAATAGATGTTAACTATTTAAATGTTTGGTAGAATCCCTGGAAATCCATCTGGCCCTGGACTCTTGTCTTTTAGGAGATTTTTGATTACTAATTCGATTTCTTTACTGGTTATGGGTCTGTTCAAATTTTCTATTTCTTCCTGTTTCAGTTTTGGTAGTTTAAAGGTTTCTAGGAATTTGTCCATTTCTTCCATATTGCCCATTTTATTGGTGTATAATTGCTCATAATATTCTCCTCTTATTTGTATTTCTGCTGTATTGGTTGTCATCTCTCCTCTTTCATTCTTGATTTTATTTATTTGGGTCCTTTCCTTTTTATTTTTGATCAAACTGTCTAGGGGTTTATCAATTTTGTTAATTCTGTCAAAGAACCAGCTTCTGGTTTCATTGATCTCTTTTTTTTTTTTTTT